ATAATCGGTGTCCTATTGTTGTGTATGTGTGCGTCGATCACAACCTACTGTTGCTGTAAAATACAAAAACGGAGACAAACTAAACGCAAAACTCCGGAAGTGGTCGGTTTGGTCAGGATATGACCGGAAAATAACACCTTATGTTAATATATCGATATATCTATCTATGTTTAAATGTATGCTAACTAATGCATAATTGTGCTTGGTGCCAATTCATGTGCCAACATATTGAAATTATTTTTTATATTATTTTATATAAACAACGCTTGGTGGCACTACTGTTGTTGCCTAATAGTGTTTATATTGTAATTACAGAATTTGATATTTTCATCAAGAATATTTTACTATATTTTATTTACATGATCCTAAAATGTCATATAGTTTTAATCACTTGTTTGATGTATATGAATTATTTGTAAATTCTTTGATTAATAATAGCAATGAAGCAATTAAAATAGTGAAAAAGCTCGAAATGATACAATGAATTACATAGTTTACGTGGTATTTATTTTGATTACGTGCTGTCAATGTGTGAAAAACGGTAAGCATTTTCTGTGGCCATAAATGAGATATTAATAATTTATTATTATAAATGTAGATAAATATATGCCTTATAATGTATAGATTAAGCAAACCTTGTCATTGAAATCGCCATCAAATCCCATAGACATACATGCATTGGCCAAATATTTTGAGTGCATGTTTATTTTTCCCATTGATAACAGTAGAACAATCATGTCAGTAGTTAATTTCCATAAGTATACGTTCCATCTAGTATACGTACACGGCCATAAGTTCATCTCTCTCTCTCTCCCACTCTCTCAACAGCTGAAAGGCCTGAACCGCCAAAAGGTTAGTGTCGTCTCCTCTATTGTCACATGTATTTAACAAAATATTGATTAAATCACAAAACACTGTATGCTTTTGTATGACTGCATATACAGAGTGTCGGTTCAACAAGACTGGTGTGAGTGGACTCATTCACCACAAGGAAATTCCGGCAGAATTACAGAATTACTCGATAGCCCAAGAGATCTCACTCGACTGCATGTGGAATATCACAGTTTTACCTGGTTATAAGGTATTTGACATATATGAATTAGCACACATTACGTATACACATTATAAGCCATCTTGATACTTTTGTTGATTATTCAGCGAGGCATTAATTAGGCTACATTTATGAAGATTTAAATAATTTTCAGGGCATTATTTGTTTAGCCGTATTGTTTGCATAGTATAATTATTGAGGTCGTCTATTATGGCTCTATTGAGAAAGTATTATTTTACTTTGTTTAAATTATTGTATCATGCAGCTAAATATATTAAGTTTATTAGTTGTTTTTCACGTGCTGANTTAAATTGATTAACATTAATATTACCTGTATCAACAATTAGCAATATCAAAATTAGGATAGACCATTTTGCAAAGTGATTGTGTAAGTTAAACTATAAACTACCTTATGACCATGTTGAACAGTTATATTCCATATGCAATCAAGTGGTAGCTCTTGGGATATCGCATAATTCTGTAATTCTGCCGGAATTTCCTTGTGGTGAATGAGTCCACTCACACCAGTCTTGTTGAACCGACACTCTGTGTAATAACGGATTTACATAACAGACATACAATGCATACAATCATTTACATATTAATTAATATAATTATATTGTATTCCGTCAATACATGTGATAATGTTGAAAATAACACTAACCGTTCGGTAACCTTTCAGCTGTTCAGTGTCGGAGGGGAGAGAGAGAGTATTATAATACTACTTTATTTATAATACTGTAATTCAAGTAAAATTTTTAATATATCTTTTCTGTCTAATACACAAAATTTAATGATTTGAATCACAAGTAGTGCTAAATCTTTATGCCAATAAGGAAATATTTTTTTCAAGCTTACAATAATAAGAAATTAAATAATATCTCAATTATAACCACTTACTGTTTTTCACGCTTTGAAAGCACGTAATCAATATAAATATCAAGTAAAATAACTTATGTAATTTATTTTAATCATTTTGGATTTTTGCTATTTTAATTGTTTTATTAATATTTATATTTAAAAGTTTACAAATAATTACTATAGAGCATTAAATAATTAAGTGACATTTTTGGATAAAGTAAAAAAATATTCTTGATTAAACAAGGTAAACACTATGACATCAACACTAGTGACATCGAGCGATGTTTATATGATAGTTAATTATTGTATATCAATATGTTGAAAACAGAATTGGCACCAGGCACAATAATTGTTAATAATTATTATACAGTAATTTTATGCAACTAAACGTAGATTCTGTAGACGTATCGCTATATAAAGCTAGTCTAACATATGATGTTATTTCCTGATCAGACCCTATCCTTCCAACAGAATATTGCGATCCACACAAACACACCCAACACTAGGACACCGATCACCACTAGTATTGCCACCATTTGCTCCGATATGAACATTATTATAGATGATCGCCGGTCTGTATATTCACAAATATTAACCATGGTTAATTTATTTAATAGATATATTTAATATTGAAGTGAGTTAATATTGTTTTCTAAAATGTGTTTAAATATTATTACTATTTATTAGTGTATAGCTCAAACAATATGGGCTAATTATTGCAAGTATATGTAACTTTGTATTTTAAAGTTTTTAAAATATTTAGATAAACAATCATACAATGTAAATATTGTAAATTTTACTTATTTAAGTTACACGACTATTTTAAAAAATTGTATTATAATTTACATAATCTACAGTGTAGATTCTTCACTACATTACTCTAACATAATTACCAGGCGCACATGTTGTTTCCAGATCCTCATCATAACGGTATTCACAATTGTCCCAACCGTCACATTTGAGTCGCCTATCGATACAAGTGCTGTCTTCGCAGTCAAACTCGTTAGAATTACAAAGATCTGAATATATTTTTAAAAAGTATTCATAATGAATAAAACTACACAATAAATATTCAAAATATTCTCATAAATAATCTAGCGCTACAATTATGGAATACACTACCAAAACAATAAATATAAAATATTAATTAATACCTAGAAACTAGAAACTGGAAACTAGAAACATAATAACTAAATGCAATACTGTTTCAAATATCTAGAAATTACTGGAAAGTACAAACATGATGGTAATAAATCTAAACTAGCCTGTCCAGTTTTTGAGCTGCCTATAGGCCGTGTATACGATCTCAAAACGAGTGGTTTGAATGGCGTTGTGTTTGGCAAAGAACCGGATGTGCATTACGTTAGACTTTGAGCGCACGGACTCGACTAGAGTCGCGCAGAATTGGTATTCACGCTCCGATATATTCATATTGTTATGATAGACCTCGATGAAATTGGACTCACAATTGTTCGGTTGGTCTAACCTGTAGCATGTGAAGTATAAATAGATCTAGGTGTTGGGATAAAATAAATATAAATATTTTTTAATTTTTACTACGGTATAATTTAAATTTAACTAAAACTTTCAAACTAAACATTATTATATCAATATAATTTATATTTATATCAATATTTCACAAATAGATTGTTGCCAGGTAAGTTATAAATTACCTGATAACCATGTTGAACAGTTATATTCCATATGCAATCAAGAGGAAGCTCTTGGGTTATCGCATAATTCTGTAATTCTGCCGGAATTTCCTTGTGGTGAATGAGTCCACTCAC